TATTTTATTTTTATTTTATTTTTTTGGGGTGGTAAACATGCATTTTCTGTAAACCTGATTTGAAACAAATTGAATTCATTTAAAAATGATCTAATAAGTTTATGATTTTGGAGGGTAAACATGCGTTTTCTGTAAAGTTGCTTTGAAAAAATGGAATTAAAAATGATCCAGTTATTTTATTTGTATTTTTTTATTTTTTGGGGTAAACATGCATTTTCTGTAAACCTGATTTGAAACAAATTGAATTCATTTAAAAGTGATCTAATAAGTTTATTATTTTGGGGGGTAAACATGCATTTTCTGTAAAGTTGCTTAGAAAAAATGGAATTAAAAATGATCCATTAATTTTATTTTATTTTTTATTTTTGGGGGTAGCATTTTCTTTAAATCCGCTTTGAAATTAATTGAATTGAATTGAAAATGATCCAGTCAGTGGGAAATAGCCAGGCAGGATAGATTAAATGACTTTTGCAACATCTTAAGAACTGAATTTTGTCTAAATTCTCGCTGTGTCTTATTTTTGCTAAACTCAGTTTGTAAAGAGTGTAAGGCTTGGCACGATTCCTGGGCTTTGAGCGGTGCAGACTGATGGGAGTCTCAACACTCCCTCAATAGTCAAATACCTTCAGTGTCGTTAGTTAAGGCCACGGTAAAAGCTGTAGCGTGTCACTCAACCACTTTGGTGCTAAAATCTAATGGGGGAAAAAAAAAGGTTTTGCCAAAACTTGAGTGCTTAAATCTTTTCACTTTTACTTTTCAGCCATTATTTTTTAGAAAATTAACACAAAAAAAACAAAGCAAAGTTTTTCGGTGTTTGGTTAAACCAGGCTTCCTGTGCGAGATCTTTTTGTAGAAACTGTGTTCTGGTGTTTTGTGGTTGAGAGATGCAAGGAGATATGCAGGAACAAGTCTGTTCGGGTTACACACACACACACACCCCACAGGGAGGAATGTGAGGGCTTGAGATCCCAGCATTCCTGTTTTAAAGAGTTCCTCGTAGTTGCCATGCCGGGATTGTGCTCGGAATGGCTGCCTGGAGCAGAAACACATTTAACATTCAATCTTGAATAATCTAATTACAATTTGCATGAACAGAACGATTGTTGGATATCTGACAAAGACAGCTGGCAAAGTTTAATGAATGTTTACTAAAAGAGTTTCAACATTTTATGTGAGAATGATTGTTATTTTCTTCTCTGAAATGCATTTGTTAAAAACTAGTACTTAAGCATTTCTTAAACATTTGATTTGTTTTTTCTATTGTGTCTCTAAGTCACTCAGTTTGTAAATGAGTTGTGTTATAATTAAGTAACTGCTAAGTATCACTGCTGAATACTGAGTGTTTATGGAAATATTAATGGTCAAAGAGATACGATAAAGCAAAGTTTTTCAAATTTTTATCTTTGAAATGCAAAGTATTTTTACAAAAACCTTTGTCACTTTATTGAAATTCCAGGCGACCAAAACCTAGAAGATCCAAAAACAGGGTTTCTGTAGATCTGAAAAAGGTCTTAAAAAGTATTAATTAGGGATGCTCCGATCAGGATTTTTGCAGCCGATACTGAGTACTAGACGCGCCTGGCCCAAAGTTAACTTCCGGTCTGTGTTTGTTTATCAGTCTGGCTATGGCACTGGCTTCAAACGCAGTTAAAGTTAAAGTGATGAGTAGACTGAAGTTGGGCTTAGGTGGTTGTGCTGTGGGATGTGCTTCCCATACATTTATTTATTTGTGTCACTCGCCACAATATCAAAACTGACCGATTTTCCAAAAGGCTTCGTTGAATAAACATGAGCACGTAACTGCACGTTTAAAAATCAAAACGAGGCGCGGGTGTCTTTTATAGCACTGATTTCTGAAGGAAGACTAGCTATAGAAAATTTTCGATGTCATTTTCCATCATGCAAAACATACACGACAAATAGCGAATTTTTCGTGGGTCACATCGTGTGTCTTGTTGCATGTGAATTGTTTATTGTAGTTTGTGTGGCACATTTCACTTCAGGCTCTAATCAAGAGCAGATTTGCCCACTATGGAGATTGCAGTTTACCACAAGGTTTCAGTTGTTAACGTTAGTTGACATAAGCTAGCAATGAGCAATATTTCTACAGAAGCATTAGAAGTAACACACTCTTTCCAACACTCAAATATATAACAACACATCATCAAACATCTAAAAAACAGATGTTTTTAGCTGCATCGCCCAGCCCTAGTGACATGGATTTACAGTATAGTGAAAAAATTAAAAATGGGAGTTCATTTTAAAATCAAAAGCTGTATCTGTTAACATTAGTTAAAAAAGTTACTTGAAATAAAAAAAACATTTTAACTAAAATAAAATAAAATATAAAAAAATAAAAATTCAACTACATTTCGCTTTTTTTATTTTAGTTTAGTGTGATGTAGCAAAATAACTAAAACCGAAACTGAAATAAAAATTTATAAAAAATATATAAACAAAAAAACACTATGACGATCACACGCAACAAAATTACTAAAATTTAAAATGAAAATGGAAAATATTAAACTAAAAATGGTTCAAACTAATTAATACAAACTATAATAGTATCTCAATGATACTAAATTTGCACTAAACAGACAACATTAGCCGAGATTAATAAATGCTTTACGAATTTGTGCTCATTGCTCGGTCATGTTAGTTAATGCATTAACTAGTGCTAATACTAATGTGGTTTTGGTTGGAAAAACACAGATTTAATAAAGTTACATTCGCTTAATTTGGAAATGAGTTTAATGAAAACAAAAACGATTGTTGTTAACTGAAGAGTAAAAACAGGAGTTTGCAAAGGAACAAAAACTAAATTTAGTCAACAACAAAAACAATTAGGATCTATTTAATTGAGATGCAAAATGTTGCTTGCTTTTCAATAAACTTGTTTTTGGCAGAATGGAAGTACTGTAATGCATAAAAACTATTCATTGTCCAAATATACATAAAATACATTTATGAACAGTTGATATTATCTAAACTAAAATTGACAATCAAAATGAATTGAAAATAAAGTATCGCACAAGCATCAGATCACTTTTTGTAGACTGATGAGTTTGTCTGTAATGTAAAAGTTAAAACTGATTTGAGATCAGCACGGTTTTCTTCTCACGCATTTCGTTTCTTAAAGTTGAGTCCAGATGTTGGCCGTAACTTGCCTCGGGACGGTGTTTATTCCCGACACGTATGAATGTCTACTCTGTTCCTGAACGAAGGCAGAATGAAATCCTCCTTTCATTTGTTAGTGAATAAGCAGGATTTGGGGATAATTGAAGACGCTGGGTGTGATTGGTGTGCATGTGTGCCAGGTCTGCAGGGGCCTGGCTGGCGCAAAGTTTAGTACAAGGTTTGGCACAGAAACAGCTCTCCCAGTGCCAACCGTATGGATGGAGAGACTGGCCCTCGTCCACCGTTCCTGAACTCCTTCAAGAAATGTGTTCTTCAAGAAATGTACCAGTTTGGATATGTTTTCATTGTTGTAAGTCTTTCTACAGCAGTGCCAATGATTCATAACTTGGAAAAACTTGTAGCAATGTTTACTTAATTGAGAAAGACTGGAAGAGTGCATGCACTTTTCATTTTATTTTAATATTTATATCATTATTCATAATCATTTTGGAAGAATTATTTGTGATTTTATTCAGGCATTTAATTATTATTTATTTGTATTTATTTATTGTTTAGTTTGCGATGGAATGAAAACTAAATAGCTACATAATAAAAAAAAAACTCCTAATTAAATGAGAAGCATCTGTTTAATTAACATGCAAACTGTTTGTTGGTTGTTTTGTTGCTTTTTCCAATAAAATGTTGTGGGTTGTCATCACTGGCAGAATGGAAGTATTGTGGGTGATGTGTTGTAAGAAAAGAAAACTTAAACTGAAATTAATACATTTTTGTATCATACACAATTGATTCAACAATTAGTTTGCATCAAAAATGCTCATGTAAATCTCAGTTTCTTAAATTGATTTATTAAAATGTATGTAAATGTTGCTGTTTATTGCTATATTGTTGCATATAAGTTAAATATAGTTAATATTGTAAGAGATATAGTGAAAATTGAATCATATATATCAAAAAGCTAAAATATAAGATATAATATTCATATTAATTTAGTAATATATTAATATTTATATATATATATATATATATTAGGGGTGGAATATATTTGATTTAGTTTAGTTAAACAAGAAAAAAAAACAGTGCGACACGTAACATAGCCTATATACGCTGAGTTTCAGTTCATTTTTGTGAACTTAATTTGTTCACAGAAAGGAAACTCAAATTGCAGAAAGCAACATCCTATTTGTTTTCTTTATTTTACAAAAGCACAATGGCATTTCATTTTGGAAGAATTGTGATTTATTAATGCATTTTATTATTATTTATTGAACATTGTGTCTTGTAATGCTGTACGATTAGCAGTGCTAAAATAACTGGTTTCTGTGTTAGCCGTGTTTGGTCATGTTTTGGTGGGTGAAGTGACTTGTTTACTCCTAAGGGCTGGTACTGTTAACACTGAATATTAGTTTGTCAAGGGGCGGTTAATTTTAGCATCGCTTGGAGATCTGCTTATACTCCTGAGCTTTATTACCACAGTCGTCTCAGCCAAAGGAAACTTCTGTTTGAGGCACGTTGAGAGTGTTTACATGCATTTAATAAACCGATTACACTTCTGCACATATAAACATCCCGAACTGTGAGTTTCTCTGTTTCTCTGCCTTTAATGTGCTTGTTCACTAGGACTCATTTATAAATGTATTTCTGTGTTAATTGTTCGTAAAAAACATTGTCGCATAAATTCATATTATGACTTCAGACTCTTTAAATGCCCTCTTCTCTGCCTTAAACGTTCCACCCATGTGTTTTGGAAGCGTGAAGCTTTGTTTTGGCCGCAGATCTCATCGTTAGGTTCATGTTGATGCTTGTTCGATCTATAAAGATTATGTCTCTTAAGTTGCATAATCGCATTCTCTTCTCTTTCTCAGGTGCACGTTTCGGTTCCCCAGTACGAACATCAAGATCACATTCACTGCGCTGGTGAGCGTCAAGCGTGAGAAGCAGGAGCCGGAGCCTCCGGTGAAAGCGGTTCAGCCACAGATCTCCCCTTTAACCATTAACATCCCCGATAACATCGCTCACCTCATGAGCCCCCTGCCCTCGCCCACTGGCACCATCAGGTACACACACAGCATTATCAACACACACCATCAGGTTAATGGACCAAGCAATTTGTGAACAATTTACAATATTTTTCTTCTTATTTTGTTGGTGATAGGAACCTTAGAAGATTGCAAGATTAAACTTTTAATGTGCATTTTATTTGGCCAAGTTTCTTGCACATGCAAACAAAAATTACCACTATTTGAATCAACTAACAATTAAGAGTGGGAGTTTGCATTGGAACAAAGACTAAATAAAACAATCTCCCAATTAGGTAAGAAGCATCTGTTTAATTGACATGCAGATGGTTGGTTTGTTGCCATTGGCAGAACAGAAGTAGTGTTGCCTTGTAAGGACTGAAAACTAGTGCTGGGCGGTATACCGGTTCATACCGCAATACAACGCTTAAACAACATTCGGAAGGCGACACTGTTTGAGCGGCAGAGAAGCACATTCAGTTGGCCGCACCGCAGCCGACTCGTCAATAAACGAGTACAAAACAGCTACAATTAATACAGAAAAACTAAACAAAACTAGTAATTGTCCAAAAGTGCATGTGAAAAAATTTAATAAAGTTTATTAAAAATATAAAAGCAATTTCAGTGGATTGATTAAACTTGTCAGATTCAGTGAACTGATTTAAAAAAAATTATTAAACTATTAATTTGCATCAACAATGCTCATGAAAGTCTCTTTGCTTTAATTAAAATATAGATAATTGATGTTTAGCGCTATATTGTTGCATATAAATGAAATGATGAAATATAATTATAAATATATTTATATTCAATCTATATATTTATTTATAAATTTTAAAAAAGTTTTAGTTAATGAAACAACACTGGTTGAAAGATAAGATATAAATCATATATTTGAAAACATTTCAAGAGCATTTGGAACAGAAACGGTGATGTTCTTGTTGAGTTTGCGTTTGAATTGCGGCTGCAGCTGTGTCCTTTATGGGCCACTTTTGATTTGATTGATTTAATTGAGTTACACAAATGAGGCAGTTTCCTGTTCTGCATAGAGAATTAAGCTTCCTCCTTCCCTGCGGTCCATCTGTTTCCACCGCTCTGTCTCAGATGATGGTTTTGGAGTGTTTGGTAATGCATGTCTCTGTGGTTTCTCCATCAGCGCTGCTAACTCGTGTCCATCCAGTCCACGCGGTGCGGGATCGTCCGGCTACAGGCTGGGCAGGATGGTGCCTGACCTGCAGCTCATGAATGATAACTCTCAGTCTGAGAACGACAAGGAGGCGTCGGAAGGAGACAGTCCAAAGGTGACCAACGCTCTCTGTACTGATAAACCTCACACTAGCAGAGGTGTAATGACCAGAGAGATCTGTAATACCAGTCAGAAGTTAGGAATAATTCACCAAGGATCAAAAATACAGTTAAAACAAGAAAATTGTGAAATATTATTGCAGTTGAAAAGAGCCGTTTTCTGTTTGAAAATATTTAAAAATATAATTTATTCCTGTGATCAAAGCTGAATTTTCAGCATCATTACTCCAGTCTTCAGTGTCACATGATCCTTCAGAAATCATTCTAATATGCTTCAATATTTTTGTGGAAACGGTGATCATTCAAATGTTTTGAGTATGTATGACTAAAGAAAAAAAAAACGAAAGAAAGACATTTTATTTAACAATGATGCGTTAAATTGACCGTAAAGTGACAGTAAAGACATTTATAATGTTACAGAAGATTTCTCTTTTAAATTAATGCTGTTCTTTTGAACTTTATATTCATCAAAGAATCCTGAAAAATAAAATGTGGCACAGTTTCAACAAAAAATATGAAGCAGCACAACTGTTGATGAAATGTTTCTTGAGCAGCAAATCAGCATATTAGAATGATTTCTGAAGGATCATGTGACACTGAAGACTGGAGTAATGATGCTGAAAATTCAGCTTTGATCACAGGAATAAATTACATTTTAAAATATATATTCACATAGAAAAACTTTCTTTTAATTAGTAAGAATATTTCACAGTATTACTTCTTTTACTGTGTTTTTCATTAAATAAATGTAGCCTTGGTGAGCCGAAGAGGCTTCTTTCCTCCAGGAATCGTACTTATTCAACATTTTTGACAGGTAGTGTACAGCACCTGGAGAAAACTGTCCGTCTGTTCTGATCCAGTCTGATTGAGTTCATCTGAAAGCTGAAATCCTCTGTTTCTCTAGGACGACTCCAAACCCCCGTACTCGTACGCTCAGCTGATCGTTCAGGCGATCACGATGGCGCAGGACAAGCAGCTAACACTAAACGGCATCTACACACACATCACCAAGAACTACCCGTACTACAGGACGGCAGACAAGGGCTGGCAGGTCAGTAGCACACCGTCAGATCAGCTGAAGACGATGCTGTGTGAACTGAGCAGACACTCAGAAAGAGTTACAGTCAGTCATCAATCTGAATGATAAGTTTATTGCATTTTTAAGTAAAGTTTAGTTGTCTAATTTTTTTTCCCCTCAGAATTGTGGGCAAAATGCAATCTCTATTTTAAAACATTTGTAAAAACCCCCCAAAAAATCCTCAGTTTCTGATTCTCAGTTTATCCAGAATGATGCAGTTTTCGTATGTATGCAAGAAAATGTCCTGCATGCTTTACTTTTTATGAAAATATCACAATGATTTTAAAATATTACTAATATTTTGAAATATTACTTTTTTAAGTTTATATTTACATAGCATTTTTATTAATTGTGTACTTTTGTCTTTATTTATAAAAGGCAGATTATTTTTGTTGTAGCTTTATTCTTTTTAGTATATAAACTAAAACTATGTTTATATATATATATATATGTACAGTTGTGGTCAAAAATTTACATACACTTTGTAGTATCTGCAAAATGGTAATTATTTTACCAAAATAAGAGGGATTATACAAAATGCATGTTATTTTTTATTTAGTACTTGATGTGAAATATCTTATTCAGGTCAGTACTAAATAAAAACATGCATTTTTTATGACCCCTCTTATTTTGGTAAAATAATTAACATTTTGCAGATTCTGGAAATATAAAATTGTATACTTTATTTATTTTATATATTTTCCTTAATTTTATGTATTTATTCTTTTTTGTTGATTTCCTAATTTTGTTTACAATAAGGCTACGTTTACACGACAACGATGTAGTCAGAAACGGAAAAGTGTTTTCCCCTGTGTTTTTAAAAAGTTTCACGTATACACGACAACGTTTTCAAAACAATTCGCATTTACACATATCCGTGAAAACGGCCAAAAACGCTGTGTAACGTATGCCAGGCCAGTAGTTGGCGCTGTCACCATGTTAGTAAACAGTACCTGTAGGGGGTGTTTTCAGTCCGCAAAATGCTGTTGTCGTGTAAACGAACAGGCAAAACGCATAAAAAGTTTCACGTTTTTGGCTGAAAACGTTGTCGTGTAAACGGCCCCTAAAAAATAACAGAAATAATTACTGATGATCGTGTCTGTCAGAACTGTGCATCAGAGGGCTGAAGATGTCAGTTGGCAGTATGAATGCATTTCTCTCTTTCAGAACTCGATTCGTCATAACCTGTCGCTGAATCGTTACTTCATCAAAGTCCCACGCTCACAGGAAGAGCCTGGCAAGGGCTCATTCTGGAGGATAGACCCGTCATCTGAGAGCAAACTCGTGGAGCAGGCATTCAGGAAACGCCGGCCGCGGGGCGTCCCGTGCTTCAGGACCCCGCTGGGACCCCTCTCGTCCAGGTCTGGCTCGTAACAGTCACCTTTATAACATACAATTTTACTCGTAGATTATTCTTATCAATGCTAAAAAAAGTTGCGCTGTTTAAAGGGGTCATATGATGCGATTTCAAGTTTTCCTTTCTCTTTGGAGTGTTACAAGCTGATTGTGCATAGATAAGATCCCTGAAGTTGCACAGACTAGTCTCAGAACCAAAGAGATATTCTTTATCAAAGTTAAGACTCTGCCACGCCCCCCTGAGTTTTGCGCATCGTGTGTGTGTGCGCGAGAGAGAGAGAGAGAGAGAGCACGAGAGAGAGCGAGAGAGAGCGAGAGAGAGCGAAAGAGAGAGGAATATTAAAGAGAGAGCGCGTGAGAGAGAGAGAGAGAGAGGGAGAGAGAGAGCGCGAGAGAGAGAGAGAGAGAGAGAGAGAGAGCGCGAGAGAGAGAGAGCGCGCGAGAGAGAGTCTTTAAAAAAGCATCATATGACCCCTTTAATAGTTTTGTGGAAACTGTGATACTTTTTTATTTTCAGGATTGTTTGATGAATAGAAAGTTCAAAAGAACAGCATTTATTTAAAATGGAAATCTTTTTGACAATATAAATGTCTTTACTGTCACTTTTGATCAATTTCATGCATCTTTGCTGAATAAAACTAAATCTTACTGACCTCAAACTTCTGACCGGTAGTGTACGTGAAACGCATCCTGATGTGTTGGTCTGTAATAACAGGAGCGCCCCGGCGTCGCCCAATCACTCGGGCATTCTCTCCGCACACTCCAGCGCTGCGCAGACCCCCGACAGCCTATCACGGGAAGGCTCACCTGTTCCCATGGAGCCAGAGCCCGCCTCTGCCCCGCCCCCTGCTCCTGTCCAACCCAAACTAGCCATGATTCAAGAGGCCCGTTTTACCCAGAACACCACAGGTACTCAAACACGAATAAACAAGCACTCAGTTGTGTTGAGATTCATGATCTTTATCGTTATTTTTTATCATCTATATAATCGATGATGGTCTGATTTAGATAATAATAGATATATAATTCTAGACTAATCAACTTTTTTATAATTTCTCATGTTTTTATTTATTTTTATTATAAAAATAATTACAGATTATCAGTATTGTCAGAATCTGTGCGACACTATATATATTAGTTTACACAAAAATTGTAGACTACTTATTAAATTTAATTAAATGTGATTATTTATTTATTTATTTGTGTTTTTGTTATGGGCCTTAACAAAAACAATTACTGATTATTGGCAGGGTTATTATAGTAAATTAAACAATTAAAAAAAAAAAAAACTTTTTTTTTTTTTCAAATTAAATAAAATTTAACTGAGAGAAAAAAAAAATATATATATATAAAAAAAAAACTAAACTTATTTTTTGTAGTAACTTGATGTACTACATTACTGAAAAAAAATATTTAAAACTGTACAGACATAAAAAAAATTATAAAAACATTGAACAAAATTACTAAAACATAAATTTAAAATAGAAACTGAAAATATAAAAACAAAAAATTATTCTAAATATTAATAAAATCATAAAATCATAATAGGATCTCTGTGATACTAAAATAGCACTGCTTACCGGTGTCTGTGCATCAATTAGTTTGCATAATGTCACTAAGTGTGTGCTTGTTTTGTCTCTCAGCGTCTCCCATCACCACCCAGCCGGTTCTGATCGCGGTCCAGCGTTCGTTAACGCAGACAATCAAACCCGTCACGTACGCTGTGGCCGCCCCCGTCACATCCTCCACATCTGCTCAGCCGCTGATGCAGACGGTGCACGTGGTGCATCAGATCCCTGCGGTGGCCGTCAGTACCGTTGGCAGAGCCAGCCTGCAGCCCGCCATCAAAGCAGAAACGCTGGAGAATGGAGAGGAGGTCAAAGGTGAGAGCTTCGGTCAAGCAGCTTGACCTGGTTTGAGTTTCTACAGATAATGTTAGTAACAAAATGTGTCCTTGTCTCTCTTCAGTGAAGGTAGAGTCAGTCCCTGGCATCAATTACGGCTCTATAGGCTCAGCCAATAGGATCATTCAAAGCAGCACTGCAGCCACGCCCCTCCAGACGGTTACCATAGTGCAACAAGCCCCATTGGGCCATCACCAACTGCCAATCAAAACCATCACCCAGAATGGCACTCATGTAGTGCCCATCGCCATGGCGATACAGAGCCAGGCTAACGCAGGTATTCATACACGCATCTGATATCACATGAAACATTAATCATGTCATGCCAAAAAAAAAAAAAGATTTTAAATACCAATTTTATTCTCTTTCTATTCATATTCTTTTTTGGTTGTTGTTGTTGTTCCCTCCCCCATTTTAAAACTGAAGAAGTCATGAAAATCGGTGAACTCTTAAAGTCATGGGCATTTCAATATAGAAAATTACATTTTTATGTTATATTTCTATATTTACTGTACATTTCTATAGTGAATATAAATTTTTTTCCCTATTTCTCTAGCTCAAAACAAAAGCTCAAGACTTTAACTCTTGAAAGTGAGGAAATTATAGTAGTGATATTACAATAATTATGACTTAAATAAAATAATTTATATATTTATTATAAAATATTCATTAACCCTTTGAAGTGATGCGAAAGTTAATTCTAATGTCAATAAAGAAAACCGAAAGCTCATGGCTTTAACTCTTGAAAGTGAAGAAATTAAATAGGAAATGTAATTTTACCACTGAAAAGTAAAATAATTAATATACTTATGAAACATTCATTTTTTACAACTGTTAACTCTTCGAAGCAAAACAAAAATTAATTCTAATGTCAAAGAAAACCAAAACCTCAAGGAATAAATTCTTGAAATTGAAGAAATTAAGTCAAATTTCTTGTAATTGTACTACTGTAAAGTAATATTATTAATGTTAATTATGAAATATATATATATATAGTTTTTACAACCGCTGTAACCCATTGAAGTGAAGAAAATGTGAATTCTAATGTCAAAAAATGCTTAAACTCTTGAAAATATATTTACTAATTTATTTTTAATTTACAGTGCTTTTGTTTTGCAGTAGTAGTAATATATTTCTGTCTTAGAAATATTAATAATAATCATGTTTATTAATAATAATTAGGGATGTTCATTTCGGTTATTTTTCCTAACCGACAACAGACGCTCGTTAATCGATTATTAACCGTTAACCGACAAGATTATTTTAAATTAGAATTGAATTAAATTAGAAAGGATAAGTGTCTGTGACCTGTTAAAAAATACTAACATTTGTTTCCCGGGGATTAATTTTACATGCGCAAAAAGCAGCAAACAACAGAACATGGAGATGCACATGGTCTTCATATCACATCACGCACCTGCAGTGCTTCTGCGAGCAGAGAAAAACATAATAAAGCTAGGCTATATATGTGTGTGATGTTTTTTTTTTCTCTAAAAAACAAAAAAATTTATACACAGCGTATTTTAACCATGCAGCTAACCTTTTTAAATATTTTGATAAATTACTGAAAAAAAATAAATAAATGACTTTTTAAACCGTTTAACTGATTGTATTAATCAGTCAACATTCTTCAAAATGAACATCCCTAATAATAATGTCAGGCCTTCGGAATCTCAGATAGCACTGCGACCCAAGACTTGGGAGAGAATCGTAATGTTAAAGGTCTCTTTCTGTTTGTCTCCAGTGTCGAGCCCGTTACACATGTTGGCTGCTCACGCCTCGGCATCCGCCTCGCTCCCCACGAAGCGGCAGAACAGAGAAAACGGCAGCGAGCCACCGGAGAGCAAACGATTGAAAACCGAGGACGAAGAACACGCAGTCACCACCGACCCGAACGGAACCGCCGCGGACACAAACTCCACCAACCAGCACAACTAGTCAGCCACTGTCAACCACCTCTTTCCCTCCCTCCTTCTCTAGTTTTCTCTTTTCTTTTTTCTCGTTCTCATCACTGTTTCTCTTCCATCCAGCAGCTCACGGTGCCAAAACTCAAGGCTTGGACAATAACTCTTTGAACCGAAGCAAAAACGTCAAAGAAGAACCAAATGCATAAAATACTATCCGTTACTGGCTTTTTCCGCAGCAACCCTTCTGCCTGCTTTCCGTTTTATCACTCGAACGCCTGATTGAACAAAAACTCGCACCTCGAAACTCAAGAGCAACTGCCATCTGGTCCATAACTGGGCATTTTATTACAGACTTCAACAGATGTTGGAGGCGTTCGATCGGCTCGGATTCCGTTGTTTGGGAGTCATGATGATTTTTAGCCAAAACTGGAGGGAAAAATGCACGCTATCCCGGAGGTTTTGCGACGTGCGTTGCCCTCCGGATGTGCAGATGTTGATCCCATCTTGACCTCGGAACCTCGGAAATTCTAGAACCTCAGGAACTCGTGTGTTGCTCACAGCACACTGAGAATTCCAGAACTCCCGCTTGCGGAATCCGGATTTTTTTTTTTTTGCTGCTGACAGCAGAACACAGGCTTCGATCCAACATTCCAAAGTTTGGCAGTCCACTACGGAAGGTGAAAAGCCAAGAGGATGTCCTGGAATGCAATTACACACCATGAGCCACAAATAGGTTGTCTTTTTTAAAATAGTGCATACTAGGGCTAAACGTGGAGCCAAAGGAATCAAAATATTCCGAAACACATCCTGAACTTTCGGCAGCTAGCCTGACAGCATCCCCCACAATCCCCTGCAGCCATCGTAGTGGATAATATGCAGTATTTTGTTGTTCATACGTGGAGCATAGGATCTAGGCGTGTTACGTTTTAAAAAGTAATAATAACAATATATATAAGCAGAAGTGGACATGGGACGTCCGGACTGTGTCTGTTTTCTGTTTTGTGAAACTAAGCGTAGTTTCTTTTCTAAGATGGATTAAAATGTATCAATGGAGTATTTCCTTCCTATGTTTTTCCTTTTCTGTTTATTTTGAAATCTGAGCAAAGCCGGCTTTGTTACACTGACATATTTTCATACAGGTGCTCGAGTGGACGTGTCATTTCCATGTGTAGTCGAACTGTTTTCATCCAGCTTGCATGTCAACTCATACAGGTTTGGAACGACACGAGGGTGGAGTAAATAATGACAGAATTTTCATTTTTGGGTGAACTATCCCTTTAAGTTTTAATATATTTACAGTAGAAAATGTACAAAATATCTTCATGGAACATGATCTTTACTTAATATCCTAATGATT